CTAAAAATCTCAGTAACAACTCCACATCTGTAATTGTGCAACTGTATAATAAAGCTGTCTAATCCAAGCAATTCACCAAGTAATTGGTAAATGTTCATTTCCTCTGGGGCTCAGACACCTGGTTTTATTATGCACTGCCGGTGCTGCTATAATGCTCTTCCACCTTGAATCCCCTAAAACACTTTGCATTTGTGGATCTGCTTATTCTTTCAGTCCAGTTTTGGAAATCAGGAATGCTCTTCGAAAAGCTCCCAGAGCTAAGTCATAGCATAACCAGTGGGAGAAATTGCACAGCCAGGCACTGTATCTTTTCTTAGGTTTATAGATTTTTATTAGAGTATTTTTTCGTAAGATTTTTAAGAAAATTTAATGTTTTCATTATGTTTATCTAATATACTTTACTTAATTTTAAGAAGATTACACAAAATTTGCTGTTTTCTAGTCCTTTATATTGCCTGCCTCTCACAGAAAAGTAGCAGACTATGAAGAGCTACAAGGCAGCTTACAAAAGCTCTTCTTTTGGGTTCCACAGTCCTCCAAAGCGGAAGACTGTGCAGTCATCTGCTTCTAGCTATCCTCTTTTGCCTACTCTCCTAAAGCACTGATTTGTGAGTGGAATAAATGTGAAAAGAAAATAATAAAGGTTGAGAAAAGGAAAAGATTTTGAGAAAAGAAAATAATTTTCAAAAGAAGAGGTACTGCCTTTGTAGTGATCAATAGCAGCCTTTGAAATTATTTAAGACAGAAGAGTTGATCTCACTGTGGACTTGAGATACACTGTCTTGATTTCAGTCAGGACAGGGTTAACGGCCCTCTGTCATCAGTATTTTTGATGTTACTGTACATTTTCTGATTTCATTGCTGTTTCCAGTAAACTGTTCTTATCTCAACCCAAGATCTTTGCCTTTTATGCCTGCATTTCTTCTCTCCAGCCCATGAAGGGGGAGGGGAAAGCAGGAGGAACAAGTAGCATATAAACCATGACATACACGTAAAACAAAATGGAAGTTTTACTTTAATGAGGCCTTAAATTATACTTTTTCTTGGTGTGGGATGTATTCAACAATGAAACTTAAAAGACAGTCTTTTCTTTGTCTTAGATACGTAATAGGTGGTGTTCCTCTCTTCCAAGCAGCTTATGAATGTGACAATCTTGCCCATTTTCTATCTGAGAAGCTGGCAGACAACTTCCTGTGTTCCACTTCTTGCCATGGTTTACAATCTTAGTGACAGTCAGCTATTTCCCTACATTCTCAGTTAAGTTTCATTGCTACAAAAATATTCAGGATGACCCTCAAGTATGCATGTTAGAGGCCCTGGCTAGCTTCTCCTCTGAGTATAACATATTTTTTAAAGTTATTTACTTTTGTGTTGCATGGTGATTTTGTGCTGTACTTTCTCAGAGGAGTACCATCTTGTCCCATTTATTTACTGCAACAGGAGTTCCAGCTTTCTGCTTTTTATCTCTGACAGTGTTGCACCTTTCCCAGCTATAGGGAGTAACCTCTGGGTACACATTTTCTCTTACTCTGACGAAGTGGTATCCAATGATAAAAAAAACTTATCTTACACTCTTTAACTATCTCATTTATTCTTAGGTGCTCTCTAAGAACAGAACAGTGCCTCTCCCTCCAGTGTCACATCTCAAAATGTCATACCCTCCTCCAGCCTGTTCTCAGTCCCACAGTAATATCCTTTTACATGTTCAGTTCCTGCCCATCACTAACTAGGCCACACAGAGTGGGAAGAACCTGGAAACGTCTCCATATTACAGAATTATTTCAAAACTAGCAATTATTATCAACAGTAGAAGGGACGGTAACAGTACTGTAGGGGATTATCCTTCCTCAGTGTTGAAAAAGCCTTGTACCTGTTTCCACTGACTGCAAAGACATAATCAACATCTTTGTAATCTAACAAGAATTTGTTAAAAAATAAACAATGGCTAAATTAATTTCTTGCTGTTGCATTCTGTGTCTAAAAAACATGTAGTGGAGCCCATCATCACAGTAGAGCTGTGCATCTGCAGCTGCAGAAAGCTGTGCTTGTGTGCCTATGTGATTCCAATTTCAGATGACCACTACAAAGCTCTTCTGAAGTGGGGAACAAAAAGAAATAATCAGCAAGGACAGTACTCTGTCTATTAGTTATATTAACCACAATTTTGCATATACTTTTAATTTTTTTTAATATATTTACTTCCTCTAGTTTTTAAAACCCACAGTTTTTCTACGCAGACAAGATGAGGAAACTCATTTAACCAACTGTCAGGTACAGTGAAATTGATTAGCCACAAAGTCCCCTTAGTCATTCAGAAGACACTGTTGTTATTTCAAGTTAAGTAAAACAGTTTCAGATACAGAAGAGCTGACTTTGATCTCTTAAGTTATGCACACTGATTGTATATAGTTCATCCAGTTACTGACTATTAGGTTATTTTGTCAACATCAATGAAGGAGAAGAAATTCACTACATTTAACATGACGATACCAAAGTAGTTGAGCTCTGGGGATGGCATATAGGACTTAGCTCTCTTCTGACTCAAAATTTGGAAAAGGATTTTAACTAGGGACTTTATTTCTCTGCTATCAGTTCATTCTGAACAAGCTAGTTTTGAGTAATAGTTGGTAAAGTTTCATATGTTACTAAATCTATAAAAATATTCTATTCTACTGTTAAGCAGAGGCACCTCCAGATTCAGATGTTATGCTAAAGAAGTCGGGTTTTTTCCCAACCTTCCTTGCTTTGAGAAAGGGAACTCAGAAGTAAATCATCTCATCCTTGTTATTAGAAAGCACTAAAAGCTGTCATTTTTCAATAAGTAACACCCTGGTCATGAAAAGTAAAAGTGTACTTTTGGGTCTGAAGGCGCTGTCTGCTTCAGCTTCTACAAAACCATAAGGTGCTAAAGAACTGTACTTCTAATCTCTTTGTTCTTTCTATGAATGCTTTCAGTGCAAATGGAGAAAACAGTGATTAAAAAAAAAGACCTTCTAATTTGTTCACAGTACAGCTCTTGAGGGACTATTTTAAACTTTGTGATGGCCCAAAAGACAAAGAAGGCCTGAATCTCTCCTGTAACTTCTTGCCATGGATATCACACAAACAAAAATGTATTATTTCTAGCCCAGACAACTAAAATAACAAAGGATGATACTTGTGAAGAAAAAGTTTGGGGTGGAAAAAATCAGAGATGGCTTGAAAAGGTCTATGAATAAAAGGGCTTGTGTCAACAATTCTGAACTACATTAATGGCCTTGTTAGAGATTGTGCCAGTTCAATGGCCAAAGGTCTATATCTTAACCCACAATGAAGTTACTTATTAATCCAAATGCAAATCTGTATACAATACTGCTCTTATTACTTTCTCAACAACATGTCTGCAGACAGCAACTAAAAACCTCTTCTGACACAGCACTGAAACCATTAACTGACCTTGAACTCTGTCTTTTCCCTTCAACATATAAAGGTAAGAAAGATTAACAAAAGTAGCTATGGTAACAATCACAAACACAGTCATATGAGGATATCTGGTAATGACCCAAGTCAGTCCTGAAGTCAACCCATTCACATATTTTTAGCTATTCTCTCTGATGAAACGGCATGGTTGCTAATACCTTACTGATCTCTCTCAACAAAATGTCATCAAACCACTACTACTGAAGATATTGCAAATAAACTGGGTTATTCAGCAGATGTAAATGCAATGCATCAGGAATGGCCTCTTCACAGAAGGTCTGAAAGTGAAGACTTTCTTCCACAGGGACAGAAATGAGAAATTATTAAGGATGTAAAAGACAGAGTAAAGTCCATTTGCTGCCTTAAAGTGTTTTCTGTGTTAAGCTGGCAATTGTGGGGAAGCTGCTAACTATGTGGCTATACAATACAACTGATTTATCAACAGGAAACTGCTACCCTTCTGATCAAAATTAGAGGCAACTGCTAAAGCATCTATTACCAGTTAAAAAACATCCCCCTAATCTAGTTCCATCAAAAAGCTATGCTGGCACTAAAAACCTCGCATGTGAATCTGGGAGCACAAAGGAAAAATTACATAAGCTATCGTACATGATACATAGTGGGCTTTTCCTTGACTACTATGATTCTCTTAAAGTTTGGCCTCCCTCTTTCTAGTCTAACACAGAGCTGAAAGTCCGTAGCAGTAACAACAGACTAACTAAAGTCACTGTTGTTTTCCAGTTTCAATTTAAAATACTGAAATACATTTTAATTTTTTTTTTTAATTTTTTTAAAAACTGGAATCTGTTACCTTATGCACAAATTTATAAGACAGGCAGACTGAATAAATGTACTTATTATAGGAGAAAGACGAGTATACACATTTCAATAAAGTGGGGAAAAGACTTGCCATGATCCCTTGACCCAAAATAATATTGCTTTTACAAACAGGTGAAAAGAACTACATTTTGGATGAAAGCTGTTTTCAAACTGCACAATGGATCGCTTAAAAAACCCCATAGCTGTAACAACCTAATCCTGAGGCTAAGCAAGATGTAGAGGAAACAGACAGGAAACAGCACAAACAGTCAATTCATTTCAACAATGCAATTGTTCATTATTAAAAACAGTGTGATTGTAACACTGAATGGTCAGTGTCGGTGTCTTTTTTCTCCTGTCTCAGGACACAGTACATTTATGTTGGAAACAGTGAACTAGGCACTCAATACAAGTGGGTTCTCCAAGCTGTGGCTAAATTCCTTCCATTCTCATTGTTGAAAGCTTATCCTCTAATATGTAATTCCCAAGACAACTAGCAATAGGAAGAATTAATGAATGAATGCATTAATAAATGTTCTCTATTGCAGGGCTCACCAGGAATTCTTTGTAATACTTGTAAGGAGTTCATAAATGTTCATTAGTCACATAAAAATCCCCAAATTTGCTTTTTCCGAACATACTCTTCTGTCCCCTTTAGAAATACCGAACCAGACAATTAAACATCAGAATGAAACAGAGACAATGGCCCTGTATGTACTTACCATGTACCACATGCTTGGCCATTTGGGATCATTGAAATAAGTGGATTGGGTACCACCAGCTTTATAATCCCTCTTTATCCGTCTTTTAACCACCTGCTGTTGTATCCACTCCACCTGCCAACCAGGAAAACATATGGAAAGTGTTAGGGTTCTGTGGAGATTATCAAGAAATGTGTGAAATCTTGGGATGTTTCCCATTACCATACTCCAGGACATACTTCATTTTAAAGAGTTCATTTTGGCAGTGGAAACATGCAGCTCACCTTGGCGTACTGTTCACAAGGAATATATCCAATTTAGCGAGTGTTAAAAATCTACCTAAACAACTGCTTAAATACCCTGCTAGAAGAACTTCCTTGGCTATCATCTTTTAAATACTATTATTTTACTATTTTTCATTATCCCATTAGTGCTTCTTTTAAATTTATAAAAATTAATACTTAGACATAACATAACATAGCTCACAACAGGAAATTAATTGATTTTCTAAGAGGGTGGGTTTGGTTTTATTTTTAGATTTTTCTGATCCAGAAAACAAAAACATTAAGAAATATATTCAAACATTCACTTGACCAATATCTAAAAAACTCCAAACTGATTTTATTTTTAATAAAGTGACTCTTTATCATGATTCTCTCAAAGAAGCACTTTGGAACTTTATTTAATGCTAGCTCTCCACTGGGAAAATAGCTGGGTACTGAGCAACAGCTCAAATTAAAACAACCATCAGAAAAGAGCTTGAAAAAGGAAAAGAAATATAAGGGTTAAAAATCTAATTCTAAAAGTTATATGTTTGTGTGTCTGACTCCTCTTCAAAGATTCATGACACATCCAAAAGGGGTGACACCAAAAGTGACATCAACCTTAAAGCAGAGAGAACTCTGCAGTTATATCTTCATTAGCTATTCTAAATGGAGGCTAGTTTCTATAAATGTAAATAATATAAACTAAGTATAGAAAAACCTCAGTTATATTTACACACATCTATCATCTCATATTTCTGCCTAATTGCCTCAAGAGATATAACCTGAAAAATTCATTTCACCTCTCTCCAAGCAAGCAGCCATCTCCTCCTACCAGCCAACTCTGCACCTTTTATTTGTGCTGTTTATGAATATCTGTGTATGTAAAAAAACCATACAAATATATAAAAGAAGTTTATATTTCTTTATCACTGGTCAGAGATGGTATTAAGGCTAATCTTTGTCCTGTGCATTCGCAACAGAGCTTCAAATCCTTATACCTATCGTATCATCACTCTACTTCTTGGTCTGATAAAAATACAGGAAGACATCCCCAAATTTGTTCAGATAGGATTCCTAGGACAGTCCTAATAGAGGTTGGCAATATTTCATCGTTTTCTTCATAAAGAAGAAATTAAATTTTCTCTTTCACAAGAATTAACTTCAGGGTCAAGAGTATTCTTATAGAGGAGATACTATGCAGTCTACAAACACAGACTATCAGGCAGTGACCACACTAAAACCCTTTTCTTTGTTAAATCTTCTAGGAACAATCCTAAGTCATTTTATGCTTCTATGAGAACAGAGAAATCTGCCCGTGTGCCCTTCTCTCCTGCTTACTGTCCTCCTCCTTCAGTTCAGTCTGAAATCCATCTTGGTGGATGCCCTCATGAGAAGCCAAGATCTGACTGCTCCCTTCAGATCTCACAGGATACAGACACGGTCCCCAGCAGGAGCTGAGGAGGACCTCAGCCTTAGGCACCACCCGGTGTAACAGAGTCCGGAGGTCTGTAAGATACATAAAGTGTATCTGGGCAAAGGCCAAAGGAGGGAGAGTCAAAAGACTTCAGTAAGCGCTAGGCCTTATGGCTGCTTTAGAGTGGGATCAACAACCCTCTTAACCACCTTTCTCCTCCATGAAAAAGGCTGATTTATAACTGACTTACAATGAACCCTATTATCCTTTATTTTGCTGCTGTTATATGTTTTTTTTTTCCCTAGACTCTCACAATAGAAGCTTATTTTCCTTCAAAGTTTCTTTTTTTCAGGTAGCCCATACCTCCCAAAACATCACAAGCCAACAGAGTGGCATCCTATGTAAGATTTTGTCTCTGACTGCCCTGCTGCCTGGAATGCCATAGATAATGGGCCTCTCTTCTTCAATTGCTACTATTTAGCAGTCATTAACATAAAAAGCTTCAACGGATTTGAAAAAGTAACCATGGTTTTCAGGGCTTGTACACATCCACCTTCTGGGCCTCATTATGAGATTTGGGTCTTAGTGCTAGAAACATGACAACTGAGTGAGGGGTCTCAGGCTTTTACACTGCAAGAATATTTACTGTCACCTTGACTCACACTTTGCTGAAGGGATTAACCAGAGGAGTATGTTAGTCATGTAGAGAAAGCTACTTAAGCGAACACATTTCTACACTTCACAGGCCAAGACCACACGGAGCACACCATGCCATGTATGGTAACTCACTCCTATCTTGAATCTTCACAGAGAATTTAAAAATGCCTACCACCAATATACTGAGAATATCATGGTGTTATGAAAGTGTCCACGAAGATACAAATAATGAGATAGACTCAGCAGAAGAGATTAAGCCCTCTACCACTGCTACTTCTAATTTAGATGCATAAATATTAATGAAAAAAGGCATTCACCAACACTACTATTTGGTAGAAGAACTGTAAAGCAGAGACCCTAGGCATCTAATTTGGCATTAGGGACTCCTATAGGCTTCTATAAGAGCTAATACTAGAAACTGTAAAAAGTTTTGGGAAAACATGTTCCTTTTGTTAGCGGAGTAAAAGAAGTATAAAATATACCAGGTGCCGGTGCAACACAAAAGTTTAAGCAGAACTTCAGCAACCTAATACCATTTCTATATGGATAAATGAAAGGAGTTCTCCTGACTAGATAAGCAGGAAAATCCTTTACTGATTATTGTGAAAATATCTGGTCTCCATTGATTTACTGCTAGAAGTATCTGATGATCATTAAAAAGACTGAAACATAACGGCAACATAGTACTTGTGCAGACTGATACATGCCTACATTGCCGCCTCAAATAAAAACCCAATTAATTCCTTTTCTCCTTTTTTCACTCCAGACATTATGGAGAACACTTATCAGTTATTTACTCCAAGCAATCATAAGCACTGCAGCACTGCACACTTCCAGTTTATTGGAATGTATATAATTTAATTCATAAAAGTTTTTGATTATATGTAGGTATTTACGTACATGCATCAATTTGTACAAGAGTTTCTATCAACTGAGTTAATCTGCAAGCCTATAGTATAGTAGGTGGTTATATTTTAGTGAGGTACGGATAAATATTTTTCTGCACCTTATCTACCACCTTTGAACAAAAAAAGTATCTGTTGCAGGGCATGCCCTTACTACATGCTAGATGTTGCCCATAATTCTTATTTCCTCAGCTCCTAGCAAAATTAGGAAAAACATATAAAAGTAATTTTGCAGAAAGACTGTGCAGCTTGCATGATCAGACTCAAATACAGAAAAAGAAACATAACTTCTTGTCTTCCCTCAAGACCTAATGTCCATTTTATATATGCACAGAATTGCTCCAAGTAAGATAGCCATTTGATTTCATACAAATACTGATGTGGATAAATGGTAATTTTCCCTAAATATGCATAACAGAAGATAGTAGCTCCTTAAGAACGGAATGGAATGGAATGGAATGGAATGGAATGGAATGGAATGGAATGGAATGGAATGGAATGGAATGGAATGGAATGGAATGGAATAAACCTGACTCAAATAGAGTATTTTAGCTGGAAGGGACCTACAACAATCATTTGGTCCAACTGCCCGACTAACTCAGGGCTGAACAGAAGTTAAAGCATAGTACTGAAGGTATTTTGCAAATGACAGTAGTAGCAAACAGGCTTGGGCCTTCAACCACCTTTCTAGGAAGCCTGATCCAGTGTTCACATCTTGGTTAAAAAATTCTTCCTAAACTCCAGTGTGAACCTCCCCGGATGCAGCTCTGAACCATTCCCACATGCTCCACCATTGGATACCAGGAGGAAGAGATTAGCACTTTTCTTTCAATGTCCCCTCCCCAGGAAGCCATATAGTGAAACGAGGTTGCTTCTCAGCCTCCTTTTCTTCCAACTAGACAAACCTGGTGTAAAACATTCAGACTCACCTTGAACACTACAAATAACTACATCAGTGAAAGGGGATGTCATTGTGCCCTGGTAAGGGGAAGACAATGCAGGGTACTAGACAGAGAAATCTAAAGAATCCCAGCATGCCTTGTCACTGTCCTGTTTATAGCTTTATCTGGAAGACTTCTAGCAAACACCCTATGTTGAGATTTGTTGACTAATTGTTTCTATTTGAGTTGTATTGATATAACCTTCTACAATATAATTTAAAACATCCCTACAAGGCAATTTACTCATCTGACATGTCAGTGCATAAAATTTTGTTTACATAAAATATCATTGTTATTTAAATAGAATAATTTACTCTACATTGTACAATCACTGGGTTTTATTACTGAAAACAAGGTCAAGACTTGTCAGTTATTTTAGTATTACAACATACATTGCCTTTGAGTATTTTACGAATAAACCCACGACAATCCACGTTACTGTTGAATGCCTGAAATATCTTGTTTGATTCCATATGAAAAGAGCTCATTTGCATAAAAAATATTTTCTTTTTGAAAGGTGTCCACACTTCTAATCCAAGGCTTTGAAATAATATCTCTGGAATAACTGATTATACAGATTCCCATTTCTTGTCAAAAGGAGAGTCTATGCAATGAGGTGCATTTTAACATTTCCATAAAGTCACACTTACTGAGGGGGGAACAGCAGATGTTTTCCCATTGACTTCAGCTTCAGAAGTTCCATTTCCTGAATTTCTAGAAATCAAACCCGAGCCAGACTGAAGACCAAACTATTTTAAAAAAAATCATCATTTCCAGTCTCCTCACTTCAGCACTCACAGGATTGTTCTGTGCATCATGCAGCTCCTCTTCACAAACTTGCATGGAATACTGCTAGAGTAATAAAGGCTGCTCTGAGATAATTCAAGCACTCTTCTTCTTTCCTTAACTGCTAAAATTTGAAATGAAATGTTATCTCTGTGTGAATCAGAAT